TAAATTTGGAATTCCTACCCCAACGGGGCCCCAAAGGGAAAATTAACCAATATTTCAAAAATCTTCTTCTCCAGACTCGGAGGTACTACAGTCATTTTCTCTGCATGGATGGAGAGATCATGATCAGGAGCTTTATTTAAATTGTAAATTTCAGGCCCCCGAGCTATCCTTTCTCCCTTGGGGAGGGGGTAACGTTTACTATATTATTTAGGGAAACAACACTTTTGAGTATATTTTGACAATTTTCTGTAGGAAATTATTCTTAGTCAGAATCATCCTTGGTGGATGAGGCTACAAAATTGTAAAATTGGGATTCCTACCCCAACCCCTGGGGCCAGGGCGGGCCCCAAAGCGAAAACTAATCAATATTTCAAAAATCTTCTTCTCCAGACGCAGATGTACTACAGTCATTTTCTCTCCTTGGATGGAAAGCTCATCATGGGCTTTATTTAAATTGTAAATTTCAGGACCCCCGAGCTATCCGTTCTCCCTTGGGGAGGGGGTAAAGTTTACTATAGTTTATATAGGGAAACAACACTTAAGGGTATATTTTGACCTTTTTCTGTAGGAAATTCTACTTACTTGGTGAGAATTATCCTTGGAGGAAGATGGTTTTAAAATATAAAATTGGGATTCCCACCCCAACCCTAGGGGCCAGGGTGTGGCCCCAAAGAGAAAATTAACCAATATTTCAAAAATCTTCTTCTCCAGATTCAGGGGTACTACAATCAATTTCTCTGCATGGATGGAAAGATCATCATGGGCTTGATTTAAATTGTAAATTTCAGGACCGACGGGCTATCTCTTCTCCCTGTGGTTTAAATAGGGAAATAACACTTTTGAGTATATTTTATCCATTTTCAGCAGAAAGGTATTCAAACTTAGTCAGAATCATTTTAGGTAGATGAGAGTATTACTTTGGAAAATTGGGATTCATGCCCCATCCCCAGAGGCCATGTTGGGGCCCCAAAGGGAACATTTACCGATATTTTAAAATTCTTATCCTTTGATGACATGACAAGTATTGTATTTCACTTAGTTAACATGCTGATTTCCACATTACATCTAAACAATAAAATAAAGCTACCAGTACCTATGATATAACTCTGGTGACCGCTAAGGCCCTTGGGCCTCTTGTTTAAAAATGAAAGGACTTTCCACATAATTAGTAGCTTTGCTTTTACATTTGGTTCAACTGACGCTCCTTTGAAATAGTATGTTTTACAAAGGTGATAAAAGAAATTGGACACTTAAACGAAGCCACTGCTTTAGAATAAACACTAAAATGATAACTTCACAATCGTTTTCTTTCTTTAGGGAACAAGTTGTTTAAAAGCTTTTAGCTGAATTACCTGTGAAACAGATTTCGAAATTAGTAAAGTTACATTGCATGCTTGCTGCAATTCTCTCTACCACCGATGGAAACTGTGATACTGGTTTTATCTCGTTCAATCTGTTTGGCATTTCTAAATATATCTATTTGGGACCCCATATCAGATACTTGTTAACTATGCTTTTTTTCCCGAAATAATATGGTACGCGGGAAAATATCAGATAAGTATAAATACGCAAGATAGGGTCATTTCAGTCTAAGGCTAAGGACATGTGACATTCCAATCTCGTCATGCTAGAATTGTAAAGAATTTTAGCTAGCGACAAAGATATCCCCATATCGTTCAACTATATGTAATATATTGTTACATGATCAGATACCAGTACTTGTCTTGTTGCAACGCTTTCTTCGACAAGAAAGAAATACAGAAAAAAGTCTGATTGTTATGAAATAGTCATTTATTAAATTATAGGTAAAATTGTGAAACAACCAATTTACAATTATTATGATAAAATATTATTAATCTTGGAAAATACAAAAATATTATGTAAATTATGTTATTATGTAACAGCTAAGGTTGGGTACAAATTATAAGCTTAAGCAGTACACATGATATCAACGAGCAATAGTACACAGCCCCATATAAAAGCTCATGACACTCACAAACAACCATTACCAAACGAAGAAAAATATTGAAATTTCTGTAGTTCACCAAAATACATGGAACCGGTAAAACAACGGAAAAACAATGGCCTTAAAATAAAAATAAAAACCTGTTAAGACAGAAAAACGAGAGGATACGCAAACGGTGATGATTGGGCAGAGAGCCTGGCTTACTGTGTTGGTTCTATTTATCTAGTGTATGTCATTATTTGACCCTATTATCAGATATAGATAGCCAATAAAAATTGTATAACAATGTCACTACTCTTATTTAAGTCTTTCAAAAATATTGGTTTGGTTTTATTTTGTTTAACGTCCTATTAACAGCTATGATCATTTAAGGACGTGCCTCCACGAGTGTTGTGTATGTCTGCATGTGTGTATGTGTGCAAGGAGACAGGGTGTGTTGGGGTACTTGCCTCTTTGTGATATCGCGGATCTGATGCCGACTTTATAGTGCTATCTAATTGGAATATCATGCCGAAAGCACCCAGCACAGCATCCCGCCCAGTCAAATTATACTGACAACGGGTGAACCAGTTGTTGCCACTACCCTAAATGCTGAACGTTAAGCAGGGAATAACAGTCCAGTCCTGGGGACAGAAACCATTACCTTCCTCACCTGGGCGAACGCTTAACATTAAAGCCAGAAGTGAGGTATTGCCAAGCAATGCGCTAGGAAATAAAAGGTAAATAGATGTAGAAAGATAAAGTTCCCCAATGTTTCAACGGGTGAAGCAGATTTATTTTTGGTCGCTTATTGTGTTCCCAAGTAGAGGACACAAAAGCAAATCCCCAATTCTGCAGGAGGTTCCCAAATTAGTCGCCCCTTACGATACATGCAGTAGGTAACAGCAGGTGAATTTTTTTCTCCGACCTGCAGGAGTGTGAAAAATATTGGTATGTACGTTTTATCTAAATATGAATGTCATGCAAACATGAACATTCTTAAACAGCATCCAGTTCTTAGAAGGTCTTTAGTTAACCAAATATTTTATATTGATATATATTATACATATTTTGCCATTGAAATGATAACAAAATAATTCTGAAAAAAATATTCCGTTAGCTTGAACATGGATCAAGAACAAGAAATTGTATCAATTCCGTATAACAAATTTGTATAAAAATATAACTTACATACGGTCAAGCTTAGTGAGGAAAAAATTAAGGTATGTTGTAATCGACTTTGTATTTATGCAAATTTGGAAATATGAAAACTGCATATACTACCTTTGTTCTAGTCGTTTGATGGCATACATTTTCTAAGTTTTCATCATAAAATTAGGCAAAACCTAAACGCGATTATCGCTGTCATTGTTAAAAGTTGGATTTTTTAAACCACCTTTTATTCCACTTATATCCGAAAGATGTCCTTTATCTTTCGCTCTCCCTTCCTCGGCTTCTTTGCCATGGCATGTCTCATCTTCTTCTGTAGGTTTTTCCGCTTCTGTCTTTATGACTCTAATTCTTTCAGTCGTCTGTTCATCTGACAACTCTTCTGTTTCCCCTTGAATGCAACAGCACCCAGTGCATCGTGATTTTTCAATACATATTTTTTGCCAGACATTTGGCGGTTGGTCGTTATCATAAACGCTAGGATCGTTATCCATTTCGAAGTCAGCAACATAATAGTCCTTTTTGAATTTTGTTGCTGCGTTGTTTAATAATCTGGTCAAATTTGTATTTTCTGCTTTCTTGTGTTCAGGGAACAACACAGAATCAAAGAAAATGGGTATCAACCCGCCTAATACAGCCGCGGGTGCTTGACTGTATAGCGAACTATCGAAGTTTTTGGCTACCATATGTTGTACAAATAGTATTCCCGAAACAACAATTCCCCAGAAAATGAATTTAAGAATGCCCATCAAGAAATTCCATCTTAAATCGCCAGGGGAATGACTAGTGTCATCTCGGCAGAGGTTAAGAAAAAAGTCGCGATTGATCGCAGATTCTCCGTTTGGCAAATAGAACAAAACAAACCCTTTAAGTGTCAGAAAAAGTTTCTTTTCCTTTTGTGTTGGCCCTGTTTCGTCTCCTGGGTCTGAAGGAACTACTCTGTTTTTAAAGACGCGTGCATTTAGTGTATTGCTTTCATCCACTGACTTGGGTATGTGTTTCATGCACTTGTCAAGGAACTCAAGATATTCCGTATGTGTCTTCTGAAGTTGTTTGTAGCCATTGATAGAAACAAAAAGCACTGTTGAAGAAACTAGTGTATAAATATCCGATCCACTTTTCAATGCCAACCCAACAAGGATGATCACTATCACTCGGGCTAATATGGCTACTATAAAATACGCCAAAAAGAAAAATGTAACTTCCAGAATAATAAGTTGAGCGGAATAAACTATTTCGTGCCTGCAGAAACCAAGCGTAGCTTTTGTCACAACCATTGATATAGGGACAACAATAAAAATCAACAGACTGACGATTCCATCCAACAATGTATGAAACGGATCACATTTATAAAAAAGAAACACAGGTACAAGCACTCCGGCTGTGACTATCATACAGAAGAGAATGTGAAGCAGAAGGTGCAGACATGTACAGAGTCTAGGTACACAACAGCATCGCTTACACCATTTACACACCGTATCACTGATCTCCTCAACGGAAGCTTGAAGAAGGGACACTAGTCCGAAAGAGTTCTGTGATATCAGAGCATCCCTTTCAATGTCAAACCAAAACCCGGTGATGTTGAGCTTATACGTTGTTTTTTCGGTCGTTATTTGTTTCCATCGATCTGATCGTCGGCCTCCACTGCAAACAAATTTACATCGTTCGAATTTAAAAGCTGGAAAGTTGATTTTATTCGGAGAAAGTTGAACTTCGTCGGATTCACAAGAAGACCTTTCAACAACTTCACATGTTTTTGTCTTGGGTTGATGTAGTTTAAAAAGAAATAAACGTGCTTTGGTTTGAAACAAGCGTCTGTACATGGTTAATATGATAACACAGAGTATCGTTATGATTGTTACGCCATAATTTAAGATTCTCTTACCCAGTCGAACCAATGGATCTTCATTTAACATTATCCAGTCTGAATCTTTTATAGATGTTTCAGTACACTCGTGGTAATAGGTATCTCTGAACAAGAACCAATCGTCGGGTTCCTCGTAAGGTTTTGCTAAGCACACTTTCTTGACCAATAACTTTTTGACGCCGTCTTTGTCCTTTGTTAGTCCACAAAGAAGCCAGTTTTTCACTAGAGCATCGGTTATCGTTATGTTAGTTAAACATCCGGGGGGAGAGGGGATCAATTCCATAGGTTGTCGGTCTACTCTGTCGCTCAGGAGGGGAAGATTTATGGTAAGAAATTCCAGTTGTGATTTGAGTGTCAAAAGTGTCTCTCCTAAATCCGTCTTGACCAGGTCAAATCTGTGGCGCTTCCGAACGTTCGGGTCGACATCAGGAATGGTCAGCTCTAACACAAGAAGAGCCGTATCTTTTTCGATGAGCCCTTCTATCAATTTAAAAAAGTTAGGATGTTGTGGTTTCGCCTTGCAGGCAGCTCCCAATACCAATGTCTCGTTCACACATTCTCCCAAAACACTTTGAGCACTCGTAAGGTCGATGGCGCTGTAGGCTACACATACGACCAACAATAATACAACAAAGCTAACCTTCATGTTGCTCCGTCGAGTGTACCAGCCGACAAGGTATCTGTATGGCGTGGTTTAGAAATTGCATACAGCAATCGACCCTGTCTGTGTTAAGTAGGTCAGCTGTGTAAAATTCACTGAAATGATAGCTGACGTCAGCTAGAGGATTCAGTTCCCAAGAATTACCTGTGCGTACCTGTTTGCTTGCTGGCTGGCGGCTCGATGAGTCTATTGATTTGATGTTTTAACAGCTGAAAAGAATGTGCTAAAAACAAATGTGTATGCATGTTTTGTGCAAACTAAAGTGTGATGTGTGCATTGAAGGAACTGACCCGGTCGATGTATATACCACCAGTTAACAAACATAAGACAGACACACATGTGATTAATTAGTTGAAAACAAACGGTATCGCTAAACGATTTTGATTCTCATATTATGTCCTCTATAAAGCTATATAAAGCGAAGTAAAGCATGTACTTTCATATGAGTGTGATGTACAATAACCTATTAAAATAACGGGAAAATATGTGATATTGTGATGTACACATACATATTTCAATGACGTGTACATTTGTTAAAGTGTTGCGTATAGTTTGGTGTATACATACACATTACAATTACGACTGCAGTTGGTGTAGTGTATTGAACATATACATATTACAAGTAAGAGCACAGATGTTATATTATGGTGTACACATACATATTACAATTACCAGTACAGCTGATATAGTTTGGTGTACACATACATATTACAATTACCAGTACAGCTGATATAGTTTGGTGTACACATACATATTACAATTACCAGTACAGCTGATATAGTTTGGTGTACACATACATATTACAATTACCAGTACAGCTGATATAGTTTGGTGTACACATACATATTACAATTACCAGTACAGCTGATATAGTTTGGTGTACACATACATATTACAATTACCAGTACAGCTGATATAGTTTGGTGTACACATACATATTACAATTACCAGTACAGCTGATATAGTTTGGTGTACACATACATATTACAATTACCAGTACAGCTGATATAGTTTGGTGTACACATACATATTACAATTACCAGTACAGCTGATATAGTTTGATGTACACATACATATTACAATTACGACTACAGTTGGTGTAGTTTATTGAACATATACATATTACAATTACGAGTAATTAAAATAGTATGATGATACACACCATGAACAAGGGGAAGCAACACTGAATCATCCGAGTTACACAATAACGAGTACATAACTTATGATATATACTATTCAGTTTTTACAACTGTAAATAATACAGACACGTGTAAATGACCGTACCTTTGCAGCTGTCATATACTCTGGTAGGAGTTATTTCATACACACTATTCCTTTGGTATCAGACACCTTTAGACTTGTTTTTTTGGAATTAAGTACTATTTATAAGTTTTAAATGGACGAAACAGGATAACATTTCCTTTTTAAAGTATACAATAAAACATTACCAGTTAACTGGACCCGGAACAATATAACATTATGTGTTGATTACGTCATGGCCCTACTGTATAACCATGGAATTAGATTAGACCATCGAAATCCGTGATATAACATCACAAAATATCCCACGGATGGCCCCATCGCAAAATTATACTAACAAGTACCCTTACTAATCTCTTCCCTTCGCAGCAACTATACGGAAATACACTGTATATTCCTCCGTGTTCCTAAGACAAACATTCTAGCCACGTAAAATGCTTTTTAATACTTATTCACAACATGAACAACACTGCGCTCGATTCCACGTCAGCTTTATGTATCTTCCTACCGGATACTCTGCTTCCCAAACGTAATTTCGAATTTCTGCAGTATCTTTTAACTATTTGGCAACTCTTCGCTTCGTACGTAGCTGACGCGGTTAACATTTTCATTCACTGACACTTCCACTGCCAGCAATTTTGTTTACAATGAAATGGTGTGTTATGCGTAAGCGTTATCATAATGACACAAACTAATACAATATAAAATGTATGGTCAGACAGGAGAAGGGTTCCCCTCTGCTATCAGTAATTATACATTCTATGAATATGTGTCAGCGATTTCCTACCGTAATTTTCCATAATGAGACTCACTTGATATATTTATACAGTATTTGAAAAAAGGACATGAAACCCCGTAAGTTGATAGAACGTGTTTTGCTATTGTTGTCAAAAAAGAAAGTTTTATTAAAAACTTATTCTAATATTTGTGTGTATGTCATTATGTTTGAACTATTCAGTTTTGGTGAAATATTAAGTTAAGTGTAAATTTGTTTTGTAGGAATATCAAGTGTCATAAATCTTCCCGTATTTTGCTGTCCGTAAGTCTTCTATTATTTTGCCTGTGCCATTTTTGTTGTTATTGCTTTTTATATTTTGTTTTGTTAATTGAAGTACATTTTTTGACAAAACAAGCTGTGTTCATGCCAGCTTTTGCCGAATTGAAAATAATCATCTGAATGCATTTCCAGCTTGGAGAATTTTTCATTTGTCTTTGTCATTGTATATACAATGTGTTTCATCAATGGAAATAAATCAAACTTCATTGAGTGTTCAACACACTAATAACAACATTGTTTGTTTAACATATGATTGCCCTTGATGTGGGTAGATTGTACATGAAAGTGACCCCATTGTTACAAATGAGAGATTCTCCACACCATGCCTTAAATTTGGTTCAACCAACGCTCATTTAGTAATGGTATTTTGTATTTATGACACGGGTATTTGGACTTGACAACAATGCCGTGTCTTCCCTTTTAGAATAAAAGCTGAAATATTAGGTCAACGATTGTTTTCTTCTTGATGAAATGGTTTTAACTTTTACAAGTGTTTACTTAACAGTGCAAAAGATTTTGAGATTATTTACTGTCTCCTGTAAAATCGCTTTATACATACCCTTCTACGACATTGGATGTGTCCTCGGTTTTATGTTGTTCAATATGCCTGGCATCCTCACTCGGCGCGATATTGCACACGGTGACACATGATGAATTAATTTTCGCTCTGAAACAATATTTACAACCTTCATTGCAAATATTCTATTTGAACATTAAATGTATTGTTTTGATGTTATGCAATTCATGATATTTCAAAAATAATAGTATCCAGCTATTCTGTTGAAATAGTTCCTACTTTTGTTAGTACGGCTTACTTTGCTTACACGAAAGCTATTACCGGTTACTGAGCAAAATTGGGTCGTTTCAGCCGTGACATTCCAAATTAAGCATCAACCAATCCTTATACAAAAAAAACCACCCCAGTGAAGTCCTTTTCGTTGATCAGATCATTTGACGTTACCAAGACAGCTCGTTTGTATAACCACAGATCATGTTTATAAACAGTTAGGTAAAACAGACACTCCAATAACTGTATTACATCCTTCCGGACCAATAGCCGTTTTATCAATAGGTGAAACTGACTGCTCTTTTAACAAGTTAGCTAATCTGATAGTTAGATTAGGTCCGGTCATTATAATTTAGATGGACTGATTTTTGAAGGTGCGTTTATTACGGTTTGAAAAGAAATTATATTCATCAAATTAATAAGAACTTTTTATTACTAATGACAATTCGCAAATTAACGTCTAGATCGCCAACATAAACAGCATTATAGGTTGTGACTGACTACTCCAGTATTAATAATTTTGCAGAAACGAGTTACAAGAATAATCAGATGTACATATAGCAACCCCGTGGCCTATGAAGTCTTCACCCATTGTCGAGAAACCACTTCCCCGAAGAATGGCAAAAGAAATAGCATTAAAAGATTGTGCAATCCAGCACCACATGCAGTTTATTAATGGTTAAAATACATACACAATCGAGATATTTAAATGAAACAAAATAACAAGCAATTTGCGTACATGACTCAAAACCGAGAAAATGTGGCTTTTATTTTAAAAAACGGATCGGGATGCAGAATTTAAAAAAAAAATCCAATGTTGCTAGTTTTATATGAGATTAGTCATAGAGCAAAACTTGACTGCTTTGAAACTTGACAACAAAAACTTATAATTCAGATAAAAAACGACAAAATACTAGTAAAAATATCATCGCATAACAATTCGGCTATTTTGTATTAATTAATAATCAACAGGATAATTATTAATGAAAAAATATGATAAAATGTCTTCATTGTATAAATACATGTAGTGTCGTTAAATCCCTAGGGAGCAGATTTAAAATCTGGGGATAAGAACAGCTCTACAATCCTGATATGTGATACGGGCTTATTGCAAAAGACCCATTTTACAAACTATTTAATGAACATTTTCAAAATGACATATATATATAGTTTCGTTAAAGCGATATCAGGTTTTAGAGATAACAAAGTGATGGGTATATGGAACAAACAGTTTAACATGGCTTCAATGCAAACAATTGTTAATGAAGAAAGAAGTTATGTTATGCATATAACACAGCGCATGTGTTAAAGTGTGGTAGACACATACATGTATAACATTGATGGGTAGATATATCTAAGTGTCGTATACACATACATGTATTACAGTGACGAGTACATTTATCTAAGTGTGGTACACATATACATGTATTACATTGATGGGTAGATATATCTAAGTGTGGTATACACATACGAGATATAACATTGACGGGTTCATTTATCTAAGTGGTGTATACACATACATGTATTACATTGACGGGTACATGTATCCAAGTGTGGTATACACATACATGTATTACATTGATGGGTAGATATATCTAAGTGTGGTATACACATACATGGCATTACATTGACGGGTAAATGTATCCAAGTGTGGTATACACATACATGTTATTATATTGATTGGTAGATATATCTAAGTTCAGTATACACATACATGGTATTACAGTGACGAGTACATTTATCTAAGTGTGGTATACACATACATGTATTACAGTGACGAGTACATTTATCTAAGTGTGGTACACATATACATGTATTACAGTGACGAGTACATTTATCTAAGTGTGGTATACACAGCCATGATATAACATTGACGGGTTCATTTATTTAAGTGTGGTATACACATATGTGTATTTAATTGATGAGTACATGTGTAAAAGTGTGTAATTCACATACATGTATTACACTGACGAGTACATGTTTCTTAGTGTGGTATACACATACATGTATAACATTGATGGGTTCATTTATCTAAGTGTGGTATACACATATGTGTATTTAATTGATGAGTACATGTGTA